CACTTTGCTTTCTTGCATTTCCTTTTCTTTAGCATGTTTTTGTTGCTGCCTCCTGTACAATGTTACGAGCCACCATCCATAATTCTTCAGGCACTCTGTCCACCAAATCTAGTTCCTCAAATCTGTTCTTCACTTCCACTGTGTATTCATAAGGGATTTGGTTTAGATTATACCTGAGTAGCTCAGTGTTTTTTTTTCTGCTTTCTTCAATTTAAGCTTGAGTTTTGCTCTTAGAAGCTGATGATCAGAGCCATAATCAGCTCCAGGTCTTGTTTTTGCTGACTGTATAGAGCTTCTCCATCTTTGGCTGCAGAGAATATAATCAATCTGATTTCGGTATTGCCCATCTGGTGATGTCCATGTGTATAGTCGCCTCTTGTGTTGTTGGAAAAGAGTGTTTGTGATGACCAGCTTGTTCTCTTGACAAAACTCTATTAGCCTTTGCCCTGCTTCATTTTGAACTCCAAGGCCAAGCTTACCTGTTGTTCCCTTTATCTTTTGACTCCCTACTTTAGCATTTCAATCCCCTATAATGAGAAGTACATCTTTCTTTGGTGTCAGTTCTAGAAGTTGTAATAAGTCTTCATAAAATTGGTCAATTTCAGCATCCATGGTTGGTGCATGAACCTGAATTACTGTGATGTTGAAAGGTCTGCCTTGGATTCGTATTGAAATCATCCAAACACACTAGTATGACCCAACTAAGTAGTGCTTTCAGGGACCTCCAAAAACTTCACAAGGTTAAGTGTTGAACACTATTATACCAACCCTGCAAGGTAGAACTGCCACTACACTCACAATATATCAAGTTTCCTTGTAGCTGGTCAAGTCAAGAGTTGGTTTTAAGTACCACAAACCCTCTTAGCCAAAACCTCAAACAACTGGAGGGAGGATGTTTATATTTTATTAAAGATAGTGAAAAAGACAAAAAGGTAAACAATTTAAAAGGTTTCAAAAAGGTATCAGAAGTATTTGCCACAAACAATAATTTAGAGTCTAAGACTGAAGCAACACAGAGAAATACTGTATACATGAAAATAAGAAAGCTAGTTACATTCACACACTAGCATATCATCAGCATGGTCTTGGAGCATGTACAGAGTGCATCCCTCCAGGCACTGCATGACAGGATAGCAACTGAGCATAGAACCTTGTAAAAGATAAGTCAGCTACAGTACTGAATAAATTTATATACCTTAAACTTCACTTTCTGGGCCCTTCAAGATGGTTTGCCAGTCAGGCTTTGAGTTCTCTCAAATGTTCATGAAGACAAGACCATTTCTGTCTCCCTTCCTTCAAGAGCTGAAGTCATTTTCCAGTTAGCACAATACTATGGAATGAGTGAACATGGCCTTGATGTTCTCTTCACCCATTTTGTTACTGGCAAAAACTGCTCTCACTTTTCTCCCAGTCAGCTGTTCACAGGCATTACCAGAAAGCCCGAATTTTCCAGAACGGTCCACAACCCATATCCCCCAATTTCTCTGTTTCTTCACAATGCTTTAAAAGGTATTCTGATTTGTTGCTGTCTTCGTGTGGAATTGAACAGCTTGCCAGAGCAGATCCATATAATATCTGACTGTTGTTAAAAACAGAAGAGTAAGAACAGATTCTCATCATGCCTATAGCGCAAAGACACAAAATAGCTGAAAGCAATCTTCAGATCCAAAGTAGAAATCAATGCAAACATGCAAAATCTGAAGCAGAGGCCCCTTCTGAAGCTGGAGCTCTGAATACCTGAGAGTGAGTTCGTCAAATTGCCATGACTTGTCTGGCACCTGTTTTCTAGAAGGTAGTGATGAGATGGTGCTTAATATAGGACAGCGCTGAGGGGGCTCGGATTAGGTTACATTTCAGCCTGCCATCCTGTGAGGAATAGACTGTGAACAGCAATTTCCCAGAAGTTCCCTAAGTGTGTCTCATTCTTGACCCTTGGGGCAAATACCAGCAAAACGAATCATTTCACTCTCAAGAAACATTCGGAAAACCCGTAATAAAATTCCTCAGCAAGAATGCAGGTTACCTCTTCCATTCTTTAGGGAGCCCCAGCAAAGAAAATCACTCCTCATATTAATACTGAGGACAAAAGCAGGTTTTGCTCATTGATCTAAATCATGCAGCTAGCTCATTCTGGACTGAAATTCAGGATTGCATTTTCTACTTCCCTATGAGCGAGTCCCTTCAAAGAAATGCATACCTCATTGTCCAGAAATCAGATAAGGCTGAAATGTTTTGTTTTATACTGAGCTGTGAACACAACCCACCAGGTTGCTATGCATCAGTCTTGACACTCTTTCATTCTTTCTGTCAGGGTACATAAGATTAAGTTATCTCCTAAGAAGCAAAAGGGGTTGTGTTCCGATCACAAGTTTCCTCATACCCAGGGAGTTCTGAAACCTCCAGCTAAAAACTCCCTTACCAGAAGAATGCGGGCATGTTAGAATGCAGACGTCACTGAGATAGATAGATAGATAGATAGATAGATAGATAGATAGATAGATAGATAGATAGATAGATTGATTGATTGATTGATTGATAGCCCACTCATCTAGTCATATAGACTACTCTGGGCGGGCAACAACGTATCATGTAACAATTTACAGTTTAAAATCATGACAATATACTGTATTACTAAAAAACACAATAATCCAAGATGGATTGGATGATTAAAGGGATGTATTACTAAAAAACACAATAATCCAAGATGATTAAAGGGACAGATTAATGACTCTATCCCTTTAATTAAGACAATTCAACTTGACTTTAACAAAAATAAATTTAAACACTTGAATGTAATCCAATCCCAGTTCTTCCTAAGATTCACCTTTCCCTTCTCTACACTTGTAAGAATTTTATGGAGAGAAATCTTTTCTGCTCTAAGTAGTCACACAAGATTCACTGCTCTTCAAGACTTTGAGGAGAATGTACCATCCAGTCAAGATATTCTGATGCCTTTGGCTGAGCAGGTGGTGGTGGCCTCACACCCCTAGTCAAAGCGTATGGTACCTAATGATGCCTTGGTTGCATGAGGCAGTTTTTACCCCTTCTTAGAAGTAAGAACATAATAACAATAATGTAAATAAATAATAATTTGCCACTCCTTCATGACGGCCACAATCTGCTGCCACAGGGGTTTTGTGAATCTGCCCAGTGCTGACCCTGGTGATGTTGATTCATTTTAAATGAGACACGGGCAGGAGACTTTTCTGCCAGACTATTGCCTCTGCCTCAAATTAGCAGGGTCACTGGCTTTGGCAATGACTGTATTCACAAAATACTGACTATCAGAGGCAGGTTTGCATTGGGGATGATGACACATGGCGGTGCATGTGTGGTTGGCAGAGGTTTCTGGAAGACCGGTTTGGGAACCTGTTTCCCATTCACTGATCTCTAGATTCTGGCTGCTGTTGCCATAATTGTTCCTGCTATGAGAACATGCCGAATAGACAGGAACAGAGAGACTTTCCAAAATAGCTAGCATATGAAATACATAGATCGGATGCACCACTTTCAGATGCACCACTTACATATACGTAATGTGCAGTTTTCATCCACATCCACCTACCTATAACTTCTTGTTGTCTGTCTACTCCAGGCTTTCCAAACTTGGTTTTTCTTTAGCCAGATGTTTTGGACTACAACTCCCAGCAAGCCCAGCCCGTATGCCAGTATTCTGGGGTGGTAGGGATTGCAGTCTAGCAGCATCTGAAGGGCAAGGATGATGCATATTGTTCCATCTAGAGAGAAACAGATTTTCATTGATTCCTCAGCCAGCCTGACCAGCAATCAGGCCGGCTGGGGAATTCTAGAATCTGTAGTCCAGGTGTAACACTATTAAGCTGCATGGGGCTATTTGTTTACTTTGATATCTATTGATGACCTATTTGTTTACTTAGATATCTACTGATGACCCTTGCAAACCCAATTTGACAAAATGAATCTCTTCTTATTAACACTTATATAACAGACAACATGAGCAATTATAGCATCAACAAAATGCTACAATTTATGCACCCAAGTCATTGACAACAATACCAATACAGAAGCTGCTTATAGAATTGCAAAGTTCAAGTATCCTTTTGAATTCAAATTTGGAAAAAAAATCCAGGAGATCTCCCTCAACTGGGTTGGGTATATATAACATAGAAGAATCAGCTATGCATGCAGAATCTTCAAAACCCTAGACCAGCTATTCTCAAGAGGGACCAATATGGCCCCTGGTCGGGTGGG